TTATCATTATTATTATTTGTTATCGCTATTGTTATTGTTGTTATTATTATCATACTATTATTTTTGTTGTTGTTGTTGTTGCAGTTCTTGTTGTTGTATTACTTGAGAGTCAGAAAGAGAAAGAAGAAAGTGGGTGGTTGGCGGGTGTTATGGTGTGGTTTGTTTCTTCTTTCCTATCAAACATCTATCGTCCTTATCTCCCCTTCTTTTTTATGTTTGTTACTCTCTTGTAACACCTCCAATCTTCTGGCGCTCATATGACCTTATGCAGTTGCGAGCGCCGTAAAACCTCTACTAAAACTAAAACTAAAAGAAGATAGAGAGGGAAAGAGAGAGAATGCTTTAACACCCTTATCGACACAATTTAGATAATTTAGGAGGCGGGCTTCTGAAAGTGTCTGTCAGGGCCAATCTGATTTGAGAGAGATGTATTCCAACAGAAAGGCCGAGGTTCTTGACAGATATGTCTCCGTTCTTAGGAATCGAACTCACTCAAGCCTCTAGCGTTGCACAGCGAAGCGTCTTCTAACCGCTACATCACAGACAGACGCCAGTGAGTTCCCGAGTGACTCTAGCTGTCTCTGTATTGTTTCAGTAGTAACCTCCCTAACCTTTACACAGCCACTGCCACGCTCAGCTTCCCCGTTGTCCACGATAACATCCCCCTCAAACTATAGGCTAACAACAGCAACAACAAAAATAGTAACAACAAATCAATATCACAAGCAAAAAGAAACAACAACAGTATCATTCGTTATACTACCACCAACATCAGCAGTAAAGATAACAGCAATAATTCAAGATAGTTGACAAACAACAACGACGACATATATATATATATAAAGCAAACAGCAAAAACGACAACAGCAACAACAGCAGAAGCAATAGCAACTGAAACAGCAATAACAGTAGCAGCATTCACAATTATCATTATTGAATTACTGGGCGTCAAAACAGGTATGTATACACATGCATCTGTATTCGCTGTACTCAACAGGTGTCCTTAAGTCGTCCTTGACATCACAGCCATGAAGCTGGTCCGGCGCTCCCTGTCGGAGGACTCCGTGGATCGCTACAACCACCTCTGGTCTGTGGTCTTACTGCTAATCCTATCCCTCATCACCTGGCTGCTTCCCTTCAGCCCGGCCTTCAGTTCCCTGGTGGAAAACTCCAGATCTACACAGTCTCCTGCTGGTGAAGTCTTGAAGGCGATGAATCAAAGGCTTCAACCCGAACCCCCAACATATAAAGCAGCGTGTTGGGTTCCAGCACAGTATACAGGTGCCCATGTGGACTATGCTAATGGTGTATGCGCCTCCTTTGTGAATTCCGTGTACCCAGGTGACGGGGAGAACGTGTCGGTGTACAGAGTTCCGGAAGATCCCGATACTCCCATTGACGAACCACAACAACTTGTTCCTTTCCAACCGAAGCGGAAGGAACAAACATCGCAAGGGTCAAGTACGTCTAAGCCAGAAACACGACGTGTAGGGGGAGATGATAAAACAAGGACATATCTGCGAAAGGACACGTATTTTTTCACGGCTGTCACTGTGCCTTTAATAATGTTCATCTTCGCAATTTTCCTGAAACTGCCGCATGTCCTATGGTGCTTGATGTCCGGATGTGGAGCCATCGACGTTGATCAGACTTTGGTTACGGCTCGTGGGGGGTTGTCTCTAGATACGGACAGTCGTGAGAGATTGAACTCTGACCTCTGTCGTGCCGTTTCAGGAGCAGCGAAGTCGTCTCGTTGTCTTGGTTTGTCCTATCTGTTCTTCAAATTGCTGCTGTGTGTTGTCGTTGTCGGAGAACTGACAGTTTTGGGCTCGGTGCTTCTTCCGGAAGTGAACCAGCTGAAGGAGAAGAACGACGAATTTTCTAAGCAGAACGCTTTGATCTCTGGTTTGACCTTTTCTCCCAAGACCACTTCTGAAGCTGTGTACGAATACGAGAATGATATAGTTCTCCTTTGCCAGTTCAAAATTCGTCAGTTCAAACTCAACATTCAAACGTGGTCTGTCCAATGTCTGTTCCATTACGACACATACACTGCCCCTGAAGCCACTGTTGATCCTAGCGCAGCCAATGAAAACGGAACAGAACCCGGACGTACCCAAATGGGCGACCTGTTGTTGGGATACCACGCTCTGCTGACCGCCGTGCTCGCCTTCCTGGTCATCTTGTTAGTTGTCAACGTCTTAAGTCTTCTTTCGTGGTCATCTCGACTTTGTCTTGGCATCTGTCGCGACGTATTGACCAGCGGTGGGTCTACTTTGTCCATGGACCTGTCCTTCCTGCTTCTGATGAGTAAGGAAAATGGCGGCCCTTTGGTCACACAGGCTTTGGGAAAAAGTCTGGAAGGAGAGTCCTCGTCAGGTAGTGGCACGGGGAAGCTCACAGAATAAGCAACACCGCCATACCAAGGTCACAGGAAAGGGTATGATGCGTGACAGCATGTCTTCATTAGACGAAGTGAAGATTATTGTACCTTTCTTTGGGTTGGGAATTTTGAATAAAACCGTGTGGCATGTTTCTGTGTGCATTCTTTAGACGTCCTGTTTAATACTGAGCTTCAGCTTTCCGTTCAACTGTTTGTGTGTTGTTTCTCTAGACCTTGTCAAAAACTTCTAAGGAAATAATAGAGGGGGTTCAAATAGCGGGAATGAGGTGACAATTCATTTGTAAGCTTTCCCTTAAGCGTTCTTGTAACCATGCATGGGACACACTTGATGTGTAGGGTAAGCCCCTCCCTGCTGGAACCAGGCTTTCTCAACAGCATCACAATAGATTAACCGCCTCTCTCAAAATTTGATGAACTTCGTGTAGAACATGTGGTTTGCTTTTTCTTCATAATATTAAAAAATCTGACGTCCCATTGGTTGAGTTTTATTTGTTCAAAGTGCTGTTAAAATTGTTGAAAAAAATGACCGAGCTATCACACTTTAAATGGGTTTCTTTGTTTTTAGACACTCTATAGTGTCCTTTTCAGACACTCTGAACTAACAGCTTCATACTGAAAAGTTTGGGGGGTTTTCTATGTTACATGTGTACAGGTTAGTGATTCATTTTGAAGTTATGTTACAGCTGCAAGTATCAGCAGAAATGTTCTTTGACTTCCGATTGCTACAAAATATTTTGCGCGTCCAACAAACTCAGCAGAGTTAAAGTGGGCCTCCTTGTTCTTCATGCCTTATGTCTACGGCTGAAGACTAGAGCTGTAGTGTAGCACCAACAAGGGGCGTCAGAGATGATAAAGTGTACTGTTGCATCAATAAAGGGGCGTAATAAGGTTAATAAAGTGTATTGTAGCACTATCAACTGTCATTTTAATAGAGAGGAGTGTAGTGCAAACCAGGGGCGACATAGAGTTAATAAAGAGTATTGTTGCATCAAAAAGGAGCATTTTTTAAAGTTAATAAGAGTATATTATTGCTGTACCAGCAACGGGCGTTAGCATAGAGTTAAATAAAGTGTATTGCAGCATCTACCATTTAAGGGGCATTCAAGAGCTAATGGAGTGAATTGTAGCAGTAACAAGGGGCAATATTATAGACACAGGCAGAGGTAGTGTTGCACCGATGGACGTTAGGGATACGATTTATGGTGGCATGTGCTAGGTACGTTATTATAAAGCTAATTAATAGTGTATGAATTGTAGCACCAACAAGGTTCATTAGAGTTACATTTAAAGTATATAGTAGCACCATTAAGGGGCATTATAGAGTTGATATAGAGTGTATTGTCGCACCAACAACTTTTGTTTTTAGTTTTAGTAGAGGTTTTAAGGCGCTCGCAACTGCATAAGGCTCTGGCCACACTGCAAGCAGAGCGGGCACAGCAGAGCGCAGCAGTGAAAATTATTACAAAGACAAAGAGGCGACTAGCTGCGCGACTCGGGGCGGGTCACGCAGCCAGTCGCCTCTTTGTCTTTGTAATAATTTTCACTGCTGTGCCCGCTCTGCTTGTTGTGTGGCCCGAGCCTTAGGCTCTTGCCACACTGCGAGCAGAGCGGGCACAGCACAGCGGAGCTGTTTGAGTTTGAGGCGCTAAATTGGGTGGCCACATTGCAAGCAGAGCGGAGCGGGCGGTGCAGAGCAACGTCATGTTGCCATTATAATATTTTCGTATTATTATCAATTTCAGTTGCCCATAGATAGGAAATGATTGGCGTTATTTATCAAGAGACTCAACAGAAAAAAACAAGAAAGAAATGGATGCAGGAGATCATCTGACTGCAAGTTCTTCAACTGATATATCTGAATAAAAAGATGGTACAGTGAAAGAAGGATCAGAATAATACCGTACGAGGGAGAGGCATCTAATTTCTTTTTTAGATTTCTTATTAATTATCTCTCGACATGCTTTATCCTGTTGTGGTGAACGGGGAAGGGGGAAATAGCAATGATCATAGAATCCTCAACGTGTTTAAAAGCAAATCAACGATAATAACTTGGTTTTGCAATATATAATACGAAGAGTTTTAAACACGTAACTAAACACACGTAGACACGCATACACACACACACACACACACACACACACACACACACACACACACACACACACACACACACACACACACACACACACACACAAATAATATGTACACTCATACACACATATAACGCAATATGTTATACACAACAAACAACCTGTGTCTGTGGTGTAGCGCTACCGCTAAGCACTTCGCTGTCTCACGTAGAAGACCCGCGTTCGAGTCCAGAGTAAGCAAGACTTTTTATCAAGTACATGTATTTCATTTTGTTTCTGCTTAGACGTTGTACATATTATCACTTTCAGCCAGGGTTGGCCCTGACAGGCAAGCAGGAGTCAGAGAAGAATGTGTGTGTGTGTGTGTGTGTTGTGTGCGTGTGTGTGTGTTCTCTGTGTGTGTGTGTGTGTGTGTGTGTGTGTGTGTGTGTGTGTGTGTGTGTGTGTGTGAGAGAGAGAGAGAGAGAGAGAGAGAGAGAGAGAGAGAGAGAAATAAAGACAGAGAGAGAGAAAGAGAGAGAGAGAGACAGAGATAGAGATAGATAGATGGATAGATATACAGACAGACAGACCGACAGACAGACAGACAGGCAGGCAGATAGATAGATAGATAGATAGATAGATAGATAGATAGATAGATAGATAGATAGATAGATAGATAGATAGATAGATAGATAGATAGATAGATAGATAGATAGATAGATAGATAGATAGATAGACAGACAATTACACAGGGAGAGAGACATAGAGAGGGAAAGAAAGAGGGAGTGTGTGTGTGTGAGAGAGAGAGAGAGAAAGAGAGAGAGAGAGAGAGAGAGAGAGAGAGAGAGAGAGAGAGAGAGAGAGAGAGAGAGAGAGAGGTGGAAAGGGTTGGCGAAAGGAATGTTGGGGCGAACAATGAGGTCGGCAGGAATAATTATGTTGTTATATAATTTAGAATAGATTATTAATCATGTAACGCCTAGTGTGGAATACGAGTTTAGAGTACAAATTAAATTCATAGTGTGGCGACTTAGAGCAGGGGCCCACAGCGTCCGCACTCACGTTTTATCACGCTTCATCACAAATCACGTACGTTAACGTAGCGGGTAGCCGTGTCCACAGCGTTCTCACACGTAGGCCTACGTTGTTGTTTTTTTGTGTGGTTTTTTTTTGCGCGCCAGACCTAGATTTAGAGAAATGGCGTAAACAAGGAAGAATTTTTTTTATAGTGGTAGTTGAAGAGGAGGTATACATATATATGCAAGGTCACCGCCCATTCTGGGTACATCCCATAATATATATGCAAAGAACGAGGCAAAACAGGGCGGGAGAATTTAAAATGTTGCACCAAATTCTTGATGATAACGAAACACGCTTAGCATATTTTCGAATGACGAAGGCAAGCTTCCAAAGCCTTTTGGAATTATGTAGACCTCATAAAAATTCAAAAACAAAATACGAACTGGAGGAAGGCAATTCCACCGATTGAAAGGCTGACAGTTACACTGATGTTAGATGTTGCTACTGCTGCTGCTGCTTGCTGCTTCTGTTGTTGTTGCTGTTGTTTTTGCTGTTGTTGCTGTTCTTTTTTTCGCTGTTGTCATTGCAGTATATTATGACTTACGTAAATGGTCTCCACCATATCCGTCATTTAAGCCCACTCTGTGCCTCCCAAAGAGCGTATTCTTTTCAGGCACATGTGTTTACTTTGAAAAATGGGAGCAGAAATAAACAAATTTATAACAAAACAACTTAATATTATAGTCTATAGAATTTCAGAATAACAAATTCAATAATTAACGTTGATGTAAACTTTATTGACTATTATTAAATCAACATGTCAAACGAAGAAACAAAACAAAAAGAAACCCCCACTTTGAGACTGAGAAAACTGAGATCAAAGTCAAGTGGCATTAATTTAATTTTAAAGGTAAAAGTGGGCAAACAAAAGATAATCAACGAAATCAGTGTCGGTGAAGCCACAGCATGTACGTAAAATGTTTGACATGCTAGATCTAGACGTCAAACGTTTTTCGCGAAAGCGTGAGGGAGCGTGTCGTCCGCAGTGGACCCAGGTAATATAGAAATAAACTATTGAACGCTTCCATACGCACTTTGTCAGTACGTAAGCGTACAAAAGCGGAGTATTATGTGGACCTTGGCTCTTAGGCCTTGTTACACGACACCTGCGCGCAAAAGTAGTCCCGTTAAACGAATGTTGTTTTATTATTAATGAGCACGGGCGTATATAATTATAAAGCGTTTGTATATAAACTTTAGATCTAATTCGTCTGTGCTTAGTTCACAACCCGACGTTCTGTCAAGTCTCTACAAATACAATAGTTTGCTTTGCTTTTCATCTCCCTTTTCCAAGCTGTCACGTACTTTCTTTTTCCATTCTTGATTGTTGTTTTTTTTTTTATTGTCACTGAATGTTATGCAGAAGTGAGTAAATTTCCAGCGTTTTCGAGCGCCATTCAATCGGGTTTATGCATCTTAGCTTGCAAAGCTTGAAAATTTTCTCACGTCTGCACGCAGGACACGCATGAGCACGCACACTAGATATAGGCCTACATATTCATTCTTCTCTAAACACTCATTCATCTCTCTATCTTTCTCTCTCTCTCTCTCTCTCTCTCTCTCTCTCTCTCTCTCTCTCTCTCTCTCTCTCTCTCTCTCTCTCTCTCTCTCGCCCTATCTCTCTTTCTCTCTCGCCCTATCTCTCTCTCTCCCTATCTGTCTTTTTCTTTCTTTCCTCTGTCTTTCTCACTTCCTTTCTATTTGTCTTTCATTCTCTCTCCCTTTCCATTTCTCCCTCTCTCTCTTTCTCTTTCCTTCTCTTTTTCGTTCTCTATCTCACCCTCATGTAAACCTTTCTCCCCGGGTTGTCCCTGCCAAATAGAGTCGGAAGCTCGCCTCCTGAATAATCTTTTTAAAAAAACTTCTTCTCTTCTTTCTCTCTCTCTCTCTCTCTCTCTCTCTCTCTCTCTCTCTCTCTCTCTCTCTCTCTCTCTCTCTCCTTCTCTTATTTTTATCTGTTTCTTTTATTGACACTTAACAACAACGTGCGTGCAGACGTGAGCAAATTTCAAGCTAAGCCAGCAACAATAAATAAACCGCCATCTTTGCGCTTGACCCGCCTCGAGTTGCACCACCAGTCACCTCTTCGTCTTTGTATTAATTTTCACTGCTGCGCTCGCTCTGCTTGCGCAGTGCGGCCAGAGCCTTAGGTCATATGAGTATGAGCGCCAAGGGGTGGATGTCAACAGAGAAGTCCTTACAGGGAATCAGACTTACTCTGCTCACCTTTCTAGCTTCAACAGCACAAAGTCTGCTTCGACTATCAAGGCACCCCGGAAATAGCGGGTAACAAGAGTGTACCAAACATACAAAAGAAGAAG